AAAAGAAGATTGAACTAACAAAGCTAATGGATTGTTAATGATTACCAGTCCTCGACTTTTTGAAGGATCGATACCAAACATTTGCTTTTCCTGCACACATGACAAGCCAAATCAGGCAACTATAGAAATGAAGTACTAATATAAAGAGAATTTTTATCCTTTTTTTCATTTGTAATACAGAACACGATACCTAAAAAATAGAAATATAAAGAGAATTCTACAAGTCCCAACAAGCTCGATCAGGTAATAAAATGCCTTTGTGAATGTAATTCCAATGTAAAAAGTATAAGGGACATGAAACCTAAGTAACATCAATATTACACCATATAGTACAAACAACTATTAGACATTATTTATATTTATCCACAGTTGTTGAATGACTAGACATTAAAAGGAGCAAAGAGGCATATTTTACCTGGAATGATGGAGCAATGAAGCCATGATATGCTAAATAAAAGATTGAGCCAACAAGAGCACCAGATAGATATAGTTTCAGCAAGTATTCCGGTCCAAAAGTTCTTCCTATCTGGCCAATATAAATAAGAGTTTATATAATGTTACTGTACGGTTTACTGGAAATAGCATCTCAACCACATAAAAGAATATGCCTACTCAATCATAATTCATAAATTCTGCTTTTGTAGACTAAATGTATGACTGCTAGCTTCTCATTCTGATCATTCCTAATTTTCCCTGTATATTGTAATCTGATGTGTTGTTTGATTATCATTGACTTCTTGTATATCTGGCTATTAACATGATAAAATATGGTCCAAAGTGGTTAGACATTGAGCTTTTATTTAATTTCTAGTTTATCAAATTCAAATATCAGAAAAATATGTCTTTTTTTTTTGGCAAAAATGAACAACTTTATTACAACTCACAAGCACAACTCCCAAGCATACACAACCCAAATGGCTGAAGAGAGCACACTCTCTAAACGTTCCAAGCCAAGCAAAAAGACATGCATGGCAAACAAAATCTTAAAAGAGATGAGAGGAATAAGAGCCATGTTATCTTACACTCAGTCCAAAAAAGTAGAGCCCAACCATGTTTGTAATAAGATGCCACATCTCGTTGTGGCTGAACGCAGAAGTTATCAACGTGTGCAACCTGCCGCTTGTAAAATTGTCTACGGAAATCTGAGAAAAAAATAAATAAATATACTAAAGTAACATTTATCTCTGGTGCCTACATCATCTAGAAAGTCTCTGTTCATATACTGTAAACACTAACCATGAAATTCTTCACCATAAATTCAGGGCTTGCCACTCTCCATAATATAAAAACAGCAACATTTGCGACTATCAAGCCTATAACAACTCCATCAGCTGTAAACTGTCTAAAACCTGATCGCCTAAAAAATTAAAACAAACCATAGTTTTAGAAAAAGACAAGATCAGACAATTTTAAAGCAGAAAGAGATTTCCAGAAAAAGAGCAAGTTTTGTAATCTATGCAATCAACCTTAAATTTATTACAAAGTTCATTTAAGGTGGTTGAGGGCGTTTAGTTCCTGTTAATTTTGCATGCACTTTGTTTATCCACTGATATTCATATTTGGGCTACACAATCACTACTCTAATTCATATTTGCACTAACCTAAGATCAAGTCAAATCCTAACAGTTGTATATGGACTCACCACCACTGCACAGTAACACCACTTGCATGCCCAGCCTTGCATTTTTTTTGGATGAGCTTTATATAGATTGCATTATCCACTTGGGGTATATTTGGCAAGAATAAAATTACCACTCGGTGTTAATTTCTGCAAAGTATAATCTTGCTTGTGAAGAAGCTAGACATCTCAATATCTTGAGAACCAAGTCACAATTGCTGAGAGAACCACACAATTATTCACACCCAATACTTTTGAGTACAGAACCAAGCAACCATTCAATCAATATCCTGGTATCTTTCCTTTATATACTTAGTTCCAGGCCTATATAAGTTCCATCACAGCACAATTACCTAGATGTATAGATATAGCTCACAAAGACTTCCAATTAACTAAACCTTGCAAGCCTCCTTATCAAGCAGAAACCACCATTGCCAAATGACAAGGAAAATAATACGAACAAATTGTTGTCCAACTCATCTTCTACTACTGAGTGTTTAAAAATCATAAACTTGCAAGTACACTATTTCCATCACACAAAGCGTGAAATGTAAGAACAGGGTAAGAAAGAGCTCCAATAATTTTCAATTGCAAGCTAAATGCAACATTCTTTAGATTACCAACTCAAGGTGCATGACTAAATCTGTTCAAGCAAGGTTGTTTACAAACTTCTGTTACGAAAATTTAAGCAAAAACTCACAGATATTCATAGTAAATTCAATAAAATTCAGAAGTATACATAAAACAATGAACACCCTATACGGAGAACATAGAAAAGTACCAGCCACGCCGCTGAGAATCAAAAGAGTGAAAAAATCTCCGCCAGTAAACTCTAATCGCCCCATTAACAGGAAAATTGCTCTGCCCCCTAAAAAGGGATTTCGAATAAAACCTCCTGGCCAGAGCAGGGCCCGGCAAAACCCCGTTCTGAATCCTCCCATAAACTCCATTCGGGCTGTAAAATTTCCATAACTGGGAATGCGAAAGCGTGGAATGCTGTGAAAAGGGCTGCTGATAGCAGGGGTTCCCACTGGTTTTCACGATTGACGGTGAGAAAATTGGATTCGAGGAGAACGAATTTGTGGCGTTCGTAGACGATACATTATTTGGAATCTTTGAGAAGAGCTTCAAACAGAGCTGCCTTCGCATTTCTGGATATTGTTCGGTTTCTGACAGAAAAATCGCAGAAATTATTTCCTAACAAAAAGTGTAGTGTTTCCACTTTTCGTCGTGAACAAGAAATGAAATTTCAGTGCACACAATGAAGACCTGCGTTCTCCCTTAACTATGAAGTTGGGCTGGGAAATAATGGGAATGCCAACGAAGGGGAGAAGGTTGTGGGTCTATTTGATGGGTAAAGGTTTAGTTGGGAAAAATAATCGAGTGGATTAATTTTTTTTATTATAAGTAATATGTCATATTAATAATTGGGTAAAATAATTGAGTGGGTTAATATTTTTATTATAAATATTATATCAAATTAATAAAAAATAATATGTCAGATTTTCTCGTCGGCGTCAGAGGTATCATCCCAGAGAAGCGCACATTCCAGACTAACGATTTCTCGCTCCACCTGCGGACGTTAGTGCGGATGTAGATCAGTTAGGATACCCACCATTCCGTTTTTATGAGATTAAATATGTTTATATCCCGTTCTGTCTCACATAGTGGTGCTAATTGTATGTATGATCATTTGTTAGCCTAGAGACTTTTGCTTTTGTTTTTTCCAAGGTTCTGAAAACTGAACCGGTGAAGCTACCGATTCAATGGTTCTGGTCGAACCAGTGGTCGAATCGGTCTAATTGGTTTAATTAATATATTATTTTGATTTATTTTATATGTATAATATATAATTGTATATATTTTTATAATTAATTTTACAGTGTATAATGGCATCTTTTTAAATAAATAAAAGAAAAAATAAATAAAGAATCATAAGTTATAACCAATATGCATTGTTTTATTTTTTTTCCGCATAATTAACATTAGCTTAAATTGATCAATTGATTATTGTTTGATAATTTGGGCCTGCATTAGTTATTTATCGTGTAACAATAATAGTTACGGTAGGGGGTGAGTTTTTTTTATATACATATATAATGAAATCTATATATATATATAATAAGAATTAACATTTATCAAAATTAGTAGGTCAATGTATGGTCAAAGTCTGGTTTGCATTAATTTTTTTCCAAAAACAGCAAGTTTTATGTCCTTTTCACACGCCTCATTAATTACACCGAATTAGTTATCATAAAATCATTCCATATGAGCTATTTTTGTTACACGCCATTGCATTAATTTCGGCCTAATAAATAGCGAGCATTAACTGCAACAGATAATATGTAATAAATCCTTCTTTCACGCCATTGCATTAATTTTTTCACAATTTGGACTCAACTTTTTCCCTTTTTTGTGGAGGGATTTATTTCATTGTATATGATTGATGCAAATCCTTTTTTATGGTATCCAAATCCGTATTATACACTAATATCCATACAATACACGTAGTATCTGTTGTAAATCTGCCGAAAATAATTTAATATATATTGGTATAAATCTATTGAAAATAATTTAATATATACTGGTATGAATCTGCCAAAAATTAATTAAAAGTGTAGAAAGAGGCCATCCCATTTACTAGAATTAGTAGGAAGAAAAGTCAAATGTAATTAATGCATTCTATTTCTATCAATTAATTTTTATTTAATTGTTTTTTCCCATAAAATCGGTACAAAAAAATGTACGTTAAACAAAAAAAAGGCAGATTTGATCGGATGATAAAATCATGATTTTACCAAAAATAAATCATATGTCAAACCTAAATTGAAGGGTTTGGTTGTCTATATAGATATTGATTTACGTAAATCAATACATTTAATATTTATAGTTTGTGTAGATTTAAAATTCTTTCTTATCTTTGTACAAAAAATCTTATCTAATTGTATGAAAAATATGATCTGATTTGTTCCTCTACATATAATGTGATTTCCGTATATCAAGATTTTTTCTTAAAAATCTTAATAGACATTAATTCTACTCTACTAATTATAAATTATAAATCTTAAAATATTGAGCCATCGTCTTCCTCACTTTCAACCTCCTGCGAAAAAAATATCTCCAATCAGTCATTCATTCAAAACAATGAATCAAGGATTTTGCTTAATCAAAAAAGTTCATAGGTCTAATAGACCTATGCTTAAAGTTTTAATTGTAAGAATGGTTTTACAAGACTGGGGCAGCACGTACAAATCCTATCTCGAGTTGGTTATGCACGATAAAACTGTAAGCCAAATTATTTTTACTTCTTTTTTTTTTTATTTCGAAATATGAAACGTATATTTTTTATTTTTTTTATTTTATTTTTAAAATTCAGAATTTGCCTATTTCTTCTAGAAATCGTGTATATATTTAGATATTTACATTATTTATGTTTTTTAAATAAATTGATTTTTTATGATTGCTTTTTTGTACATGTTTAGTTTGTGAGAATGACGAGTTGTCCAATAATCAAACTCATAATGTTGTATACAAGAAGTTCTTTAATAATATATGATTGTTTCTTTGTCAAATACTATCTTATTGTACAATTTTCCTACGTATCATAACACTTTTATTTAATATTGCATCTTATAATATAATATTCCCCAAATAAATATATTCCGTTCCTCGTACGGGTCACGTACTATATATATCTCATACATTTTACTTTATTCATGTATATAATTATAAGCCTAGATAAATAGCCTTAAGATTGTGCACCCCGTGCGATGCACGAGCTCTGCACTAGTTATTAAATGAAGGTTTCAACTCAATGTTTGGATATTAATGTGCCAAATATCACGTCAAGGGAATAACTAAAAGCCCAGATTTTTTTTTAAGTCACATTAAACACTCTTGCAGGCTTCCAGCCATGTAAGGCCAATATGCCAATAACAACCCAATAGTTTCAGCAAGTCTTTATTTGTGAATGTCCCACATTAGAAACACTAACAAAACAATTCAACTATATATATGGTTCTTGAACAGCCTATACACAAAGTTATTGAGGGGAATCGGAGTAATGGTTGGTTCCCAGTTGAACCGATCGGACCGGCCGGTGCGGATTGGTTTTTAGAACCACGGTATTTCCTTTATGTTTTCGTTTGGTACGTTGTTGACAGTTGATGTTTTCGTCCCAGTTGGGATTTTGATTATGCACAGGTACCCTTCTAAGGAGAGGTTGTCTATCACAAAATCTTACACGGGTATGAAACTGCAAATCTTTCCTTTTAATCTTTCATTCCTCTCCTTTCAGTCGAGATTCAGGTTGATCATCAATTTGAATATAGGAAAATAGACCAATGTAAGGCACAAACACATAAGTTCGGTTCATGTAACTTATGTTGTGTTATCCCTAACAGTGCATGACTATTAGTTACTACGAATGAAATAAGAACGACGACAATTACGGATCGAAGCCTTAAATCTAGCAATTAACATGCAATCCTCCACTTAGATGATCAAGCTAAATCAAAGAACACATATTATGACATGTAATTAGAATAACACAAACAATTTTATACGACAAGTGAAAATGAAATAAATTGCATTAATCGAACATAGTCATCGATGATTCAACGTCCCTAGAACCGAAATAAATGTTTAGCGCATAGCTAAGTGATCAAAACAAAAATAATAATCCATGTACTTCAAACAAAATAGAAAATAATTAATAAACTCCCTTCAACATTCTCCAAGCCCACGGCCCAATTTATACTTCGGCAAATAATTCGAACTTTTGATTTTCTCCCAGCACACTCTGTTCAAGTCTCAAGCATGTACCATTTATTTTCCTAATCCTCCCAGTAATATGCCACGCACACCACCAAAATTGAGAGTTAACTCCCATTAATATTCTCACGCCAAGTCCACCAAAATTGAGGGTCTTTAATTAATTCCCCACATTATGAGTCCAATAAAGGAAGAGTTCTATCCCGTCACTCACGAATAAGTCCACATCTTCTTTCTTGACCATATTGAAATTAAATCCATGTCATTTCCTACATAGTTACCATCTCATTAATGTCACATAACAAATAGGTGCAATAACTGAAATAGACACAAAATCAAATATTGACAAAATAAAATACGTAAGAAAACTTAAATAATACAATCAAATCAAATACTCAAATATGCAAATTAAATCACAAACTAATACAAAATTTTTCATGTATCACTTTCTTCTTCCATTAATTTTCACAAAATGACACTTTCTATATTTCTTTGTTTTGTTCGTTGCACCTTCAGTTACATCATTTTCTTTTATTGTGTTTTTGTTTGATTTTTTTGTCCTTCGATCCTTTTTTCTGTTAATTTGCGTTTGTTTTCTTAACAATTTTTTCTGTTTTCATGAATATTTATGTGGGAAAAAAAATAGTTTCATTGCCTTTTATTGGCTATTACAAAGTTTATGAGACTTCATGTTTGTGTTTTAAGTAGGATTATTAGGTGACACGTGCCCATCTCTACAACTCTCGTATTATTATTATTATCATTATTATTATTTTTACTCTTTGGCCTAGGGGTGAACAACGGTGCGGTTCGGTAAAAACCGCACCGCAACATAGAAAAGAATAGAAACGAAATCGAACTGATTTTTTTGTACTAAACTAACCGAACCGAACTGCGCCGTAATGCACGGTTCGGTTCGGTTTTTGATTTTGTATCAGTTTTTCTATACATTTTATGCAATTTGGTGCAATTCGGTGCAAAACTGTACCGAACTAAACAAAATCGAAAACAGAACTTATGAAAAACTATAACCGTACCACACCGCAATGTAGGAAAAAATCGAACCGAAATCGAACCAATTTATTTTAAATTAAAAAAACCAAACCAAACCGAACCACACCTGTAAGATCGTTTGGCGATGAGACTTTCGAAGCACTTATTCTTTCTGCCAGCATTCTTTTCCCTTCCTCTTTAGACGGATTTTGGAGCATAAGATCTGTTCAGTAGCATCCGGGGGCCTTGGTTCGTCTTACCGGACGCTGGGGCCACCCCCAAGTAGAACGCGCTCCAAAAACGTTGGATGTAAAAAAAGGTGCGGAAGAAAGGTTTGAAGATGCACATTTCGGGACATCAACCCCAACTTGAGAAACGCGGTTTCTCCTTTCCTTGAGTTCTGAGGATCGGGTTCAAGGGGAGCATAAGCAAGTTCAGTGGTTGAAACCTCTGTAATTGATCGATGGGAACCTCGAAGCTGTCTGAGGCAGGAGACATTTCGGCTTGGTTTCGGCTCGGTTTTGCTCACCCCTACCTTGGCCTCCGTAAATTTTCCAACCAGTCCAT